TTGGTCTAAATTTCAATTTTCATGATTAAGACAATTAGTAATCGTGTTGGTACCGAAAGGGCAACGTAGAATGTTCATCTTTCATCACTTGTAATCGACTCTTGAATCCAACAAATTTATGGTAAGACGAAGATATGATAAAAATGGGTAAGTATTAGGTGTTCAACCTTGCCTAATTCAAAAAGATTAGTGAAACTCCAAAAAGATAAAATTCAATTTAAGTCGAAATATAATTCCGGACCATCCGAAAGATCATTGCGAAAGTTTAATAAAAAAATCACATCTTTTAATATATTCAATTATATTATAAATCATTTTAATATAATATAATATAATATGATATAATATAATATAATATCCCATTAACTCCTACTTGCAACTAACTCTTAACTACTGTAACTAATTACTAACTAGTTAGCAACATACTTCAACACTTTCTTTTCTTTTCAGTTGAATGTTGTCTGATTTTATTAATTTTCCTCTCTGGTCTTCTTTTATCTCTATAACCGCAAAATTTGAACCTTCTTCCAAGAGTTCTGTGCTGAGTGCTGACCTGACTATTGGCTTCAGTCAAGTCAGCACATGCCCCCATTGCCACTCACTGTTATTAATAAGCCACACCTTCGACATTGGAACTCAAATCAAAAGGCAAAGCAAAGGTGGCCGGAGCCAAAAACCATAGCGGTCCATTTTGCAGCACTTAACGAAGCTTGTATCAATGGCAACGAGCTTGAGCTCACATTTCAGTCTCGAAACTTCAGAATCAAAAGCTACTCATTCTCCCAACTGGTATTCACCGGAAACAGGAATCTATTCCAGTAAGCATCCGTCTATATCTCTCCCCACTGATCCATTTCTCGATGTTGTTTCCTTCCTTTTCTCTCACCAGCACGATGGGGTCACCGCTTTGATCGATCCCTCGTCTGGGTTTTCAATACCTTATTCAAAGGTTTTGCCTTTAGTCCAATCCATGGCCTCTGGCCTCCACCACATGGGCGTTTCTCAAGGTGATGTGGTCTTGCTTCTCTTGCCGAATTCTCTTCACTTTCCCATTATCTTCTTGAGCGTTTTATGTTTGGGTGCTGTTGTTATCACCATGAATCCGTTAAGCAGCATGTTTGAGATCAAGAAACAGATTTCCCATTGCAGTGTGCGTTTTGCTTTCACTTCACTTGAAAAGAGTGAACAGCTTCAGAACTTGGGTGTTCATGCGATTGGGGTACCGGAAAACATTGATTTTGATTCAGAAAATATAGTTTTTGCCCCTTTCGATAGGCTTATCGGAGGTCGATTCGGTAAGGCGCCGAGGCCGGTGATCAGGCAGCAAGACACGGCTGCGATAATGTATTCATCAGGTACTACAGGTGTTAGTAAGGGAGTTGTTTTGAGTCATGGGAACTTGATAGCAATGGTTGAGCTATTTGTGAAATTTGAGGCTTCACAGTACACATATCCAAGTTCAGAGAACGTTTATTTGGCTGTGGTACCTATGTTCCATATCTATGGCTTATCACTTTTTGTGGTTGGGCTGTTATCTTTGGGTACTACCATCGTTGTCATGCGGAGATTCGATCCCGGTGAAGCGGTGAAACTGATCGATGACTACGGAGTTACTCACTTTCCGGTTGTTCCACCTATGCTGGCAACATTGCAAGGAAAGCCAAAGGTGCCTGTGAAAATAGCTTAAAGAGTTTGAAACAGATCTGCTGCGGTGCTGCTCCGACGAGCCGGAAAATCATAGATGACGTCCTTCAGGTTCTTCCTCACGTCGATTTCATTCAGGTATTAATAAGGCCTAAGTTCTAACGCATACTCGCACCGTTTCCATGTTGTACCTTACTGTTCTTATTGATGCAGACCTTGAATTTGATCTGTTCAATTGTTCATAGGGTTATGGCATGACTGAAACAACTGCAGTAGGAACTCGTGGCTACAACACTCAACAAATTCATAAGTATTCTTCAATAGGCCTGTTGGCACCAAATATGCAAGCTAAAGTGGTGGATTGGAACTCTGGCTCTGCTCTGCCTCCGGGACATTACGGCGAGCTTTGGCTAAGAGGACCGGCGATTATGCAACGTAATTAGTTTAACTCTTCCCTCAATATGGTGTGGTCTCATCTTCGAGTTGCTTTGAATACAAGGATGACAGTTACGCTACCCCCATTTTGCAGGATACTTGAATAATGTTGAGGCCACAGCGATGACAATCGACAAAGACGGTTGGCTACGGACCGGCGACATGGTTTGTTTCGATGAAGATGGGTATTTATATTTTTCCGACCGGTTAAAAGAGATCATAAAGTACAATGGCTATCAGGCATGACTCCTTTTTCCCCATCACTTTGATACTTTATGGTCAGTCATAATGCGCATGGAATTTATAGTTTCATGTGTTATATCAGATGGCCCCCTGCTGATTTAGAGGCAATATTGATTTCCCATCCTGAGATACTTGATGCTGCTGTAACTGCGTAAGTACTACTTTTCTCAAGGATATCTCTTAATGGATAATGAACTTATGAGTGCGTTTAGTTCACGGAATGTAAGATTATCAGTAGGAATAAAAGATTACCCGATAATAGGATTACTGGTAATGATGTATTTTGTGTTTGGTTGATTTAGCAGAAATATAAGATTACCATGTTTGGTTAAAGGAATAAAAGTTTATTGGAATGTATATTTGATCAAATTATCCTTATTATATATCTTTTTAACAAGTTGGAAAATATTTTATATATTTTCTTTAAAAAATTTAAATTCATAAAATTTATATAATTTTTTTACAAAAATATAAAATATAAAAAGTTTAATGAAAGTTTAAGATTTTATTTTAACCCTTGAACTTCATATAAAATTTTAATTATAGAATTTTTTTTGTAAATCTAAAATAGTTTAAGGAGAAATTTGTAATTTAACCTTCGTAGAATTTTTATTATTCAATGACAGAATAAGAATATTTTCGAAAGAAAATTTTTTTAAGGGCATTTTAATCCAAAACGTCGGTAATCCAACAATACCTAAGGAAAGGGAGGTAATGATATTTCCGGTAATATACCCCCAAAAAATTCACTATTGGTAATGTAAGATTACCGGGAATGACATTCCCGGCCAACCAAACATGGGAATGTGGATTCCATTCTCATGGGAATCTCACATTCTCCTAACCAAACACACCATAGGGGGTAACAATTTAATTTGAAATCGATGGATTCCGATTCGATCTGATTTGATAAGATATAATTTTTTTTAAGAGAGTGAGGTCAGGTTCGAGTGAAGAAACTCTAAACCAATTTGATCCGGAGATAATAATGTAATTTTTTTTAAAAATTATTTTTTAAATTAAATCTTTATTTTATACCAGGTCGGATCATATCGAATCAGATTTATACTATAAAATTCGAATTGAATCGTGGTTAGGTGGAGGATACATTTTGTTTGGGCTAAATTGAGTAAAAATCCGATTCAACCGGATCCATTGTCATCCGTCAATGAACCTTAATGACCTATCGTGGTATTTGTTTAATTTGGGTGCCAGGGAGAATGACGAAGCATTTAGGGAGATTCCGGTGGCATTTGTGGTGAGGAGGCATGGTAGTCAACTGACCGGGGAAGCTGTGAAGGACTTCGTGGCTAAGCAGGTGCCATACATACATAAAGCATAATGTCAAAATTAACGTCTGAATAATCATTCTGATTTTTGCTTTCAACGTTTTGATTTTTTGTTAAAATGAATTCCGCTGGATGAGAACTATTAATTGTAGACGTTACATTCATACATGTATTAAAGTGTCACATATCACGGCACCTAAGATGATTATGTAACACATGATGATACGATTTATGTCATGTCATTCACGGTTTATAATATTTCTTACTCAACTAACGGTTTACATCTAATATGTTTGGAGTTATTTTAACCAATAATTAAATATTATGAGTTAAAATACTCTAAAATACATTATAAAATCTAAAATAATCATTTAAGTAAGACGTTAGAGTACTAATTTTAAACTTAAACCTATACATAATAATAATCCCTTTCTTACATCCATTTACCATCTATTCTCATCTCTTTTCTTTACTGTCCCTCTCTATATTAAACACTTACCATATACTTTCTTCTCTGTTTGTGTTATGAACATTAGGTTGCACCTTACAAGAAAATAAGAAAGGTGGTGTTTACAAGTTCAATTCCAAAGTCTGCTGCAGGCAAGATCCTCCGAAGAGAGCTTAGAAAGTTGTTGAATTGCAGACTTTAAGATCTTCTTTTCCTCGCCTTGAAAGCCAAATTATCTGAATAAAATTGCCTGTCTAGTCTAGTCTAGGTAAACACCAGCAACAATTGGAGGAAAATTCCTTCCATTATGTCACCATTGTATGATTCAGATATATCGAGTTGTTCCAATATATACATAGAAAGTTGAATCAGTAATCCATTCTTCTCCATTGGAGATTTCTTTACTTTTGGTTGGAGGATTTCAGAAAGAGAAATCAAAGAGTTAGTTTTGGATGAAATTCATTAGTTATCTAACTATTGATGAATTCAGTTGACATTATATTTCTACATGTATTAAATTATTGATTCTTCACATGCTACGACACCTAAGATGATTCACATTATTTAAAGTGAAGACATGCTGTATGTTATTTAAAGTGGTGATATAATATATGACACATTAACAACATGTATTGATCGTTAATGGCATGATGATTTTCATTCAACATGAACCTTTGATCATATATATTTACCCTCAAGGGGCACATCATAGGGCGTTAGTTTCCTAAAGTGGATTGGGCTCAATTTTACGGCTTTAAACACTTCTCGATTAGCAATCTATTGACCCTTTTGAATGGTTCCATGTTGCAGTAAAGGCCCAAATAAAACCTTTTACGAATTAGATAAACGAAAATCAATAGAGGAAAATGGAGCTTACTCCACTCTCTCTCTCTCCCCAAAATAATTGTGTGGGTGTGTGGGTGGGGGGATCTCATCATGTTATGATGAGATGGCAGTTTACGTCCATACAAACTTTTGATCGTACGCGTCACCTCACATGGTGAAAATGGGAACTTTCGTGGAAACTCTGCACACTCACATTTTTCAATGGCTTCTCCATTGGTGACCACCACTCTCTCAAATTTGTCTCTTTCTCTTCTTAACCATCGCCTCCTTCACAGCAGTTCCTTTTCTTCTCCCTGTTTTCCTTTTAATCACAGGAGCCGTAGAAACCCGACACCTGTTTCTTCCCATGGGAACCCACAGTTATTTAAGCATGAAGACAATCATTCCACTGCTCCTGCTCCCCATAAGTCCACCAGTGTTGTTGGACCCAAATCCAAGTTCCTGCAAATGGATCCTCCAGAGACTAGCACTTACAGAGAAACTTTGGTCAAATCTTCTGCTTCAGATGGTAGCAGCAGCAGTACCACCTCCTCTCTCTCTCAGAAAGTGAGCAAATCTTTCTTTGTTTTTGATCAAAAAGAGAACTTGATCAAATGTTTATTGACATTTTGTTGTTGTTGTTTGTATAGGTATTTGGTGTTCTACACTTGGTTGTTTCGCTTGGTATAGTTCTGTCAATGGATAACTTCTTGAAAAAAGCTTTTGTGGCTGCTGCTATAAAGTTTCCAAGTGCATTGTTTGGAATGTTTTGTATATTTTCTGTTTTGGTCATACTTGATTCTACTATCCCTGCTGCTGCTACAAGCTTGATGAACTTTTTTGAGCCAGCCCTCATGTTCATTCAGAGATGGCTTCCATTGTTCTATGTTCCAGCTTTGGTGGTGCTGCCACTTTCTGTTAGAGATATTCCTGCTGCTTCAGGCCTCAAGATTTGCTTCATCATAGGTATATACTATAAAGCTTTGATGAATTTTAAGTTTTGTTAAGGCTTATATCATAGTTTCTGAATTGTTGATTCTTTCTGGATGGATTAGATTGATTTACTATCTTGGATTTGCATCAATTCATTTAAATTTCTCAATTAGGCCTTGATAATCAAGTATGCCTTGATAATCACTTGTCTTCCTGTAATTTAAAGGTCAGCATCATTTTGAAAGTTGTTCATTTTACTTTGAAATGAATCACTACTCCACCAGGAGAGAACTGGGTGATAGTTTTTGAGTTCATCTTGAACTCACTATTATAAAGGTAGGCAATGATGCCTCGGTTTTATGTTCACTCAAATGTCTGTTGTTAAAGCTTTAATCCATGGTTTCACATTTGTTACTGTTTTTAATCTTTAATATAGTTGCAAATAAGTGTGTTTGATTCCTTATGCAGCTGGAGGATGGTTAGCTTCGCTTTGTGTGGCGGGCTTTTCAGCTATCGCCGTTAGAAAAATTGTGAAGACAGAAATGATTGATGCTGAGCCTATGAAAAAACCTTCCCCGTTTTCTCCTATAGAATTCTGGGCTTGGGGTGGTATCTTTCTTTCATCATTTGTTAGTGCATTGTTCTATCCTACAGCTTTAGGGACAGCCGCCCGAACATGCCTCCCCTTTTTGCTTGCCTCCACTGTGCTAGGCTACATGATTGGTTCAGGGTGAATTTCCATTTCCTCTTTACAGAAGATTTGTATGGACAAAATTTTTGTAATAACAACAATAACATACTTGATTTCTATAGCTACAGCCTTGCTATTTAAATGTGTATCCGATTTGCATTCTTCTGATTTTTCAGGTTGCCATCTGGTTTGAAAAAGGTTTTTCATCCGATTATTTGTTGTGCGCTATCAGCAGATCTTGCAGCAGTGGCTTTTGGGTACTTATCTGGCTCAGGAGTTGATGCGGTTTTAGGTAAAAACTAAACATTAATCTTTCTCCTTTTTAGTTACAACGAAAACCGATATGGCAGTGTCACATATGCATCCGGTCCTCGGATGTGCAATTCGTGACAAGTTCATTGTTTTAATGTTTGTGCTGTGTACATGTGATTGTTATTCTATGTTGGATATAACAATGTTGGTCTTGGTTCCTGCAGGAGATTACCTTACAAAGGTGTCATCTAATCCTGGAGCTGGTGATATTCTCATGGGATTTTTGGGCTCTGTTATTCTTTCTTTTGCTTTCTCAATGTTCAAACAGAGAAAGGTAATGTCTGATAGATGTGTGTATTTAACACTCACTCTCGTGTACGAGTAACGTAAGCCCCAAGCAACATGTTTTTTACTTTTACAGCTCGTTAAGAGGCATGCAGCTGAGATCTTCATATCAATCATTCTATCAAGCCTGTTTTCTTTGTATTCAACCGCTCTCGTTGGACGTCTTGTCGGATTAGAACCAAGCCTGACTATTTCGATTCTACCGAGATGTATAACCGTTGCATTAGCTCTCAGCATTGTTTCCTTTTTTGAGGGTAAGATAACTTGCTACACCTTCTACACTTTGCATAAGATTGCAGGCTACTTTGTTAAGTGATTCATTTCTAACATAACTAAACCAAAAAGTTCAACTCCGAGCACATAAATAGAAGATAAACCGTGCTTCAGAGTTGCTGCAGGTAGCACTCAGCGGATATGATAGCTTGTCTATATTTTCTTGTAGGCGCCAATTCATCTCTCACAGCAGCTGCAGTTGTAGTGACTGGTCTAATCGGTGCAAACTTCGTGCAAGCAACGCTCGACAAATTACGTTTTCGCGATCCTATTGCTCGAGGAATAGCAACCGCATCTAGGTATGTACCTCAATGGTCAATAATAAGACCAGTGAGAGCTCACTATACTCGATTTTGATGACATCCTTTTGTTGTTGTGTTGTACCAGTGCCCATGGATTGGGAACAGCTGCACTGTCAGCCAAGGAACCTGAAGCACTTCCATTTTGTGCCATTGCTTATGGTCTTACCGGTATATTTGGCTCATTGTTTTGCTCTGTCCCGGTAATCAGGCAAAGCTTGATCGCGATTGTTGGCTAAGGTTGCACGTCTCCTCCACATTGATTTATATTATACACCAGTATTTCAACTCTAAACAAAGATGTTGCTGATGAAATCTATCATATGATCATTCATATGTTTTTCAAATATCTTTGTATAAAATGCTCTCGCTTTGCTTGAATCTTAAATGTTAACTGAAAGGTTCAACTTTAGGGATTAATTTTCTTAAAGATTTCGGGTTCAAGCAGTTACATATATAAAAATTGATAAAAATATAAATAAATGTTATTCACCTTCTCGAAATAATAATTCTCACCATTCGAATTTTCAAACAAACGATACAAACTTCTCAAACTCCAAAAGGTGATGATTTATTTTAGGCAAAAAGTTCCCTATATTTTTTAATAAAAACTAATGTGATTTTCGTATTATTTTCTTTTAATATGATCATTCAACTCAGATAATAAGTACAATGTGTCCCTTTGATCAACGTTTTTTGTCGTTGATCGTAATTATACTGACATGGCAATTCACGATGTTAACATGACAATTCACGGTACTGATGTGACAGTCCACGATGGTTGATAATGAGACGGATATTATGATAGATGAATTAAATTAGAAACTCAAACATGACATATGAACTGTCATATCAATATTGTGGAACGTCACATCAATACCTGTGAACTGTCATGTCAACACCATAATGACCAACGGGCCGGTAGTTACGAACAACATTATACAAATCCTCTTGTTCCAACAAAATAACAACAGAAAGATAAGTATAGGAGCATACTCGTTCTTAGGAGAGCAAAAGCCCAACACTCAAAATGAAACTTGAAAAAGGAAGTGTAAATTGTGGAAAGCTAAAAAGAGTGAAGCCAAAGGCCCAATTAATGAGAAATCTCTTGTGCTTTCGTTGCTTCTTGTGAAGCAGAAGTTTTGGTAGTGGTAATTTGCTCGTAGAGATCTCTAATCTTCAACCCAACAATGGTCTGGAAGAGCCCGGTTCCGTTGTTACTTCCAGGGAAATCAGAATGCTTCAACATTTGTTGAGTTACTTCTCCATAGAACTTGGTAGATAGGTTGCTCAAATGGCTTTCGACGTAAATCAGTTCATCTAATCTGTCAAATTGCCCGTCCATCTCCACAATAGATACCTAAATGATACGTCCGCATGGAAGAGTTAACAACGAGTACACAATTCCAGAGTTCAGGGATGGACCAAGAAGGAAGAAAAATACCTCGTTTCTGAAGTAGGAATCGGGTCCATAGGCGAATTTGATGCCAGGGTAAGAGCAAGTGAGCTTCCTTCCGCATGGTATCCATGAGATGGTTGAGCCTTCATCAAACAGGTAAACTGGACTGAAATGATCCACCTCTTCTTTCATTATCAACCTAACCCTCAAAACCTTCTCCTCCGGAATCAACTGAGTCGGCAGCATATCGATCACTACATTGGCGTATTGCTTCTGAGGATCTGAAGTGCGCCAACCAAATTTAAGATTATTGTAAGTTTGTATACATGTAGCTACCAATGTTGGATGTGTAATAGGTAGGAATTATACCGATATAGTCGATACTGGCTTTAATGCTCTCAATGCTGTGTCCTCTATCAGCCATGTCCCTCTGCAATGTTTTGTAACAAAAGTAAGATGACGCTGACGGGCAAAATCCAGGCTTAGAACAACAGTTTTTTTTTCACATTACAATACAAAGTACGTCACCTGAATTTTCCATGCAAATTTGACCTCATTGCTGATGTCCAAATAGATATTGAAGTCCAACAGATCCTTCACACGCTCATCAAACCTATATTGAAGCACCCCAATTTGCATCGACAGTTGTAGTTTAAAAAAGGGCAAAAGGTTACTAGAATATACCAGTGAATATTGGCTTAAAAAAACTTAAATAAGAAGTCCATGCAAATTTGACCTCAATGCTGCTTGTTTTATTTTCATGTAAGCACAAAGCTGCTCTGACTACTTTATTTCAAAATCAAGCAAATGGTGTTGTCCTTGTTACTGATGTTAGGCCACGATGGCTCTTCCCTAAGCTCCTCAAGTTGGGTTTATATGTGTAAAGTTTGTTGGATCTCTTATGGTGAAGGAAGGATTTCGGTGATGATTAGGATGGGCACGACAATCGAACCTGACGAGTTATGACTTGATTCAATCTGACTGGATCAAATTTTTTTAAAAAAATTTAGGTTCGAATCGGATTGAGTTATGTTTTTTTAAAGGTTACGTTCGGGTTTAGGGTGAAAAATACTATACCTGACCTAATCTGAAAAATATAATTTTACATTATATATTTAAGAATAATTATAATAATACCCTTCTACATATTTTTTTCAATTAAATTTCTATTTTATTGAATAATATTTTTTAATAAATATATTAGTTCGGATCAGATCGAGTTCAAATTTTATCTTAAAAAATCGAATCAGGTTCGGATCAGATGAAGGATGTATATTTTTCAAAGTCAGATCAGATAGAAGATATATAATTTTCGGGTTAGAATGAGTTAATCGAAACCCACCCGTGCCCATCCATTGATTATCTCTTATAAATAGGATAGGCATTGATTGGGTTGAGTAAAATTTCCATTTAATTTGGCTTAACCCATAAATAAATATCTTTCATTTAAAATTCAATTCGATCTAAACTTAAGTGAAACATCTGAACTTAGATTAGTTTCACCTGACCCTCATTTTGAGATAAAACCTATATCCAACTCCGACACAATATATAGAAAACAGTTCTTAATTTTAATTAAAGAATAGTATAAAGAAAATTATTATTGTAGTCTTCCTTAAATATAAAAGATACAAGTACATTGTTTTCAAGTCTATTTCCGTTAACGCTTTGTTCAGATCAGTTTGACATAGATGGAGCATTCTGTTGGCAATTTGAAAGACAATTTTTCCTTGTGTTCGTGTTGACGAGGAAATCAAGTGGCAAGTCCCACAACATGATTAGGTTAGCCTTAATGTGGCAATTTCTCCTGGCTTTACTCCACAGACGATAATCATGATAAAAACTGATTTGTGGGTTTCAACAAATATCTAGGCCCCATGCTAAATCTTGGACGATTTCATGAATGCCCCAAGCTAACCTAAAACTATGAACTCGAGAAAGTAACTCCAAACAGATGGTTAATAAATTAAGGTTTTACATTTCATAATATGGATTAATTTATTTAAATCACGTTTGAGGACATGCCACGTGAAAGTAGAAACCAAGAAATGGAAATAAATTGCGATGATAAAGGATATGAAATGACTTGAACACCCACCCAACTCTCAAAAAGCCAGTAAGAACTATGATTCCCTACAACCTACACAGTTGTAATGGCATACAAACCCATTGTATTGTACCAATCCATTCCACAATCATAAAATGTCAAATACAATAACAAGGTATACTATTTATATGTAAAATACCAATTTGATGGAGCGTGGCACCATCAACAATCATCCAGACATGAACACAGCATAGCCGCACTTTCATGTCTCTTTGCTTGTGCCCCCCACCAGATACGACCACAGCACAACCTTGCTTTTATATCTATTACTTGTTCCCCCTAAAGTACAAGTAAATTTTCTGCACACCCCAACACACAAAAAGGTAAGCAACTAAATATCAGGCAAAGTGGTATACGGTTGTGTAAGGAAAATGATTTTAATCTATTACGACACTGATTTGATGGTGTAAAGATCTCAGTTTTCACACATTCACCGAAACTTATAAAAACAACTGTGCAGATTCACGAGCAGCATTAATAATTAAATCAGATGACATAGCCGTTAGCCATGTATCCTTTTTTTAAAAATAAAAATACATTAATAAATAACTAACGATTATGAATCAAGAGAAATGCTGTGTCTAAACCTGAATAACCCACAAGCTCAGCAGGGACTCCAAGCAAAACAGCCCAAAACCAACAAAGTAGAAAACCTGTAAAACACAAAAAAATTAGTTAAGCCCAAACATCTAATAAAATAATGTAGAAAAAAGGGTTAGACTCTATCAGAAGCAAAAGCATCCATGTATGGTCGTATATCTCTCAATCTCATTACTCTACTTGGAACAATGGTACCAAGTTAGTAAATTATATTTGTCAAAAAAATTGTGGACAAAAGAATGCACATCCCTTAAATTCCTACAACTAGCTGTGCTAATAAGAGGGAAATAATTCCAACATGCAAAAGAAATGCAACTTACCCCTGCTATCATATCATCAGAGATGACATCAATTGCCGCCAGGATACCACTGCAATTAGAGGCAAGAAAAAAATATAGTAAAATACAAGGTTAAAAAGGTGAATCCTTATAGGCATCAGAAAATACAAATCATAAGAAAATTTCAACATCTAATAAGCAGGCAGCATTTTGACAGGGCAAAACAGAACAAAAGGAGGGTAGAAGTTAGAACATCCCAGTAACTAGCTATAACAGCAGCTAAACAGGCTCAGATCGTCTATACATCCAATCGCAGCTAAAAAATACACAAAATTGCATGGACAATCAACAAATATGCCAACTCAAGGTCTTGCCGACTTCAAGAGCAAATTAAGGTATGAAGAACTTACGTTAATGATTTCCCATGAAAGACAACAGGAGGAGCAATTGCAGCAAAAATGCAAAACCCAAGGTGGAGCTATACAAAGCAGATAGACAGGTTGAACAAAAAGAAATAAATAATAATAATGCCTCCCAATCACTACTAAAACTCACCAAGTAGAACATGAAAAACCAACCAAAATTCAAGGCACTATCTGTCCTGTAAGGTGAAACCCAGCAGAACAACCATCAGCACACCAAAATTTCTCTTTTTTCAAGATAAAAATGCAATATTTAAACCAATCACTAAAGATTTACCTCATTCCTCGGTAGAGTGGCCTGTACCACAACACGTATGAAAGAGGGCATCCAAGCAACATGTAGATTACAGCAAGGAAAAAAATTTTAACACCTAAAACGTATGAACCAAGTTAGAATATAAATATTATTGCATGCCTAGACTACATTCCAGAATAAAGGAAAAATATCAGAGGATCAGAAAATACTTACCACCACCTTGAATCCAACATACAATCACTGCAATAACATTAAAAACGAGGCAAAGAACTATGCCTGAAATATGAAAAATTAAAGCATGTCAGTAATAAAAAACATGGAAGAGGTAATACGGCACAGACTTTGGCATAATTGCCAAATTAATACCTTACCGTAACTGTTGAATGAAGATTAAAGGACACTCCTACAAGGAGAGAGAGAGAGAGAGAGAGAGAGACTCTGAATACATTACACGATAATAGCATCTAGACAAACTGCATAAATTTGGTCATCAATTTTTACATGCATGTATGCACAAAATAATATTATCATCTTGCTCTTAAGGATTAAACTGGAAAAAGAACTACAAGCAAATAAGATACATTAGAGTAAAAAAAAGGAAAAAGACTAATACAACAATAAAATTCAGTTGCAAAAAAATTGAACTCACAAAGTTTACAAGATAGTCTTTTGCATAAACACTCGAACAATTTACATTAAAAAGGCAAGAATATATAGTGGAGAAAATTCCACAAAAATAATAAACCTCCATACCAAGCCAACTTGCAAAAGCAAGATATTGCAGCCTCTGAGCATGAACTGGTATCTCATTAGCTATATCATGATGTATAATTGGGAAAAGTGGTGGCCAGTTTTTATTGTCTGTGGAAACACCAGCTGATATACCATGACAAAAAAGAGGTAACGTTTAGTACTTTATCAGACCACTAGAAAAGAATACCAAAGTTAGACAGTGGCTTGTGCACCAATTCCCTTACTTTGTGAAACAGCATCTTCCCTTCGCTTTATATCCTAAAATAAAAAACGAAAAAAAATAATAGAACAGATGTTAAATAAATTCAAAACTCAAGTTGCAGTAGCATCAGAAGAACAATTAATGCCGTGCCCAAGAAAGGAGGCATCACAGGATATAATCTAGTGAATATGTATTGACTTGGAGGAAAAAGAAAGCAAGAGATTTATGCTTCTAAACAAGCACAGAGTTAAAAAAAAAACCTTTTCCCTTCTTTTAAGATCAGCTTCCCAAGCTGCAAGATCCTTTTCTCTTTTCTTGGAATCCTGCGATTAACAAAGTCAATAAAACAAAGTAATCAGTCATCCCTTAAGTATTAATGCTATAAAAATGTAAAGGACAAAGAAACTTCATTACGTTCATTGTATCCAGAGGTATATCTACAGTAGCATCATGTTTTTGCCCAAAACCCCGAGGTTCAGATGCCAGTGGTCGTGCAGGAGCAACACCACTATTATTCTGCAGTGACACTCAAATAAGTAAAAACACTAAACAACGAAGTAAGACAAGGGAAACATCAGTATCAAGTGATATAAATAATGCCAAATAAGCATTAATTGTACAAATAACAGCACTTAACATGGCGTAAACTACAAACATGACTAGTGTGTATCAACGTTATTACTAGGGGTGCTTAATGAGTGAGCTGCTCGAACTTGACTCAGTCAAAACTACGTCAACACTTGACTCAGGTTGATTCAACTCAAACTTGCGCTTGACTCAAGACCTTTACGAGTTGAGTCGAGCAAGATCCAACTCGATTTGATAAATTCACGAACAGTTCATTAACCTTTTTTATATTTTTTAATAATTAATTTAAAACATTATTCCATTAAAAAGTCTAATTAATAATTACTAGGGGTGCTTAATGAGTGAGCTGCTCGAACTTGACTCAGTCAAAACTACGTCAACACTTGACTCAGGTTGATTCAACTCAAACTTGCGCTTGACTCAAGACCTTTACGAGTTGAGTCGAGCAAGATCCAACTCGATTTGATAAATTCACGAACAGTTCATTAACCTTTTTTATATTTTTTAATAATTAATTTAAAACATTATTCCATTAAAAAGTCTAATTAATAATTACTAATTTTCTAAAAGATAATAAGAAAGATGCTATTTAATATTTTCTACTAATTTATTAATTTTTTAATAGACAACAAGAAATTTACTAAATTATTAATTATTAATTATTAAATTACTAGATTTTACATATGGTTAAAAAAACAAGGCAAAAATTTTGGTGAACTCAACTAGCAACGACTCGAGTATCGAGCAAAAATAATTTTAACGAGCACAAGTCGAGCAAAATTTTATCAAACTTAACCAACAACGAGTTGAGCAACAACACTTTTTAACGAGCACATAATCAACTCGAACGATAAGCACACTTACATAGATGGTCCTACAGCTAACAATGAAGAACTAAGATCACATTCAGCACAAATTTAACTTATATGGTCCATAAATTTCCAAATCATAGTAACCAATTTTGAAACTACATTCAATATATATTATTAAGAAAACAACATTTAAATTTATATTACATTTTGAGATTCGAAAATAGAATCCACCAAAAAAATACACACTGAAAGTTTCAGATGCTAAATTATATAGTTTTTTTTCATTAACTACAATAAAAGAAAAAAAATCAACAATTAGAAACCATTTCAACAACGAAATGTTTGCAACCAGAATTTTCAGATCCAGTATACTCCAAACCTAATTCCGAAACTACCCTTGAAAAATCGAGAAACCGACTACCGCACACATAAAACAGAACAGAAAATGTACATCTGAAAAGGGCGAAAAAAGGAAAACAAGAATAGGAAAAAAGAAAGACAATACCGAAAATGGATTGACTTCTTCTTCATCGAAAGGATTTGGATCGTGGTGGCGATTCATACTCTCTTTCTCTCTCTATGTGTTTCAGATCCAAAATTTTATCCAAAGTAAGACCAGTGTTTGTTGAGACTTAAGATGGTGAACTTCTACTTTACTCTTTTCGTAAATCGACTTGGCTTGGGAGTGACGCGGGATAATTTGTGCAATTCGATATTTGCCCTTTTTATTTTGAAATATTTAGAGTTTGGACGTGCTAGGGTAAACACTATATCTTGAGGTGAGACAAGACAGATCGTGAACTATTAGATTAAGGTTCGATAAATATTTGGATTGAATGGACTCGATTTGAGTTCTTAACGAGCCGAAATGAGTTACTCGATATTCAACTCGAAAAGCTCGTGAGCAGCTCGGAAAAATTTTAGATTATAATTTTAGATTTTTAAAATTACATTATAAAAAATTTATTAAAAATACATTATTGATAATTATAAAATTTTAAAAATATATTAAAAACTCTATAATACAATTACCTCAAATTTTAATTATTTTAATTAAACAACTCAAGTCTAATTGTTACATTGTATATTATTAAAAGAAAAAAAATTAAGCACATGTTAGATTACACCCTAAACCCTAAACCTTAAACTATAAACTATAAACCTTAAATACTAAACCTTAAAACCTAAACCATAAACCTTAAGCCTTAAATCTTAAACCCTAAACCCTTAATTTGATTATGTGATAGAGGTTAAGTTATGCATATGTAATAGTACATTATATATAATGTTAGATTGGATCTTGATAAAAAAAAATTGGGGACATACTTAATATTTTTAAAAAATTTAGGAATATAAATTAGATTTTTTATAAATTTTTAGTCTTGATGAGATTTAAAAAACTTAAAAAGGGGATTTAATTAAAAATATTTAAAAATTTTAAATTTAATGCGAATTTTAAAAGGAACAAGCTGCCCTTTTCGGAAAATAGAATGTTATATAATTAAGGACATTAAAAAAATCAGTACCCAACGGATTTGATCCGATCTAAGAAGATTAGACTTTTTTATTTAAAATTTAGACTTCGGGTTGGATCATATTAAAGTTTAAGAAAAACATGTATTACTCTATGATAGTTATGAAAAAAAAACACTTCTTTATATATTAATATATTACTAGTTGTATAGCATATTTGAAAATCCACCTTTGCTACATCAACATGTATAGCATCAATTTCTTCTTGAAAATCCAACCACCCACCAGAGGAACAATGAGCTTCTTCTTCATCAATTTCATCTCTTTTCCCTGCAAAATACGTTTTCTTTTTAATCACGTTCACATTTTATTTTCAATATATTTATCTCACTAACAAAAATACCAGTAAGTCACGAAAGAGAGAGAGAGCGACATGGAAATCGAAACTTCATGGTAAGTAAACTATGGCTAAATCGACTTTGCTTGTTTCCCTTTCCAATTTCCAGGTTTGAAAATCCTTTTTCTTCTTCCTAACGTTCCTGATTTGAAATCGAGTAGGTTCGCTCACCAAAAGGGTCTATGATTTTGAATGCCAAATTACCTCTATTATTTATATAAGTCATTTGGGATTTTCTTCTATGTTTATTAGTCATGTGAGATTGTTTTGTTTTCATATTTTTACTCTTTAGACTTTTGTGATGCTCTTCTATGTTTCTTAGCCATGTGATATTTTTTTTAAAAAAAAATTAAACCAAACGACATCGTTTGTTATGTTTTTTTAGTCACAAATTTATTTTTTTATTATAGTTATATAATTATATTTATTATTTAATATGTTTTACCTTAAATATTATGTTGCAGTTGATTTTAATTATTTTGTTTCACTTGATTTTATGGTTTTTAAGTTATATATGTTATAACTTGCTTTGAATATGACTTGTGATATAAAAAAATTATTTTTTATTAAAAAATTTATATTTATATTTAATTTTTTAAATAATTAATTATGCGTCGTCCGATTCTTTCGGTCGGTCTTATTGGTTCGACCGGTTGAACCAGTAAATAGGTAGCACGACCGGTTCGCTGACCGATTCGGTTCTGAAAACCATGGTGTTACTCATGTGTTTTCAGCTTTCGCGACGATCAGTAGGTTCCCTTTCCATATTCCTCTCAAAAGAAAATGGATAAACTATGCGAGTAGTCCCCTATGTTTTGGTTATGATCGACTTTAATCACACAAAAAATTAAAGGAAATGATACCTAACATTATAAATCCGTCCTATTTATGTGGCACTTCAAAAAAAATAAAATTATAATTATTATTCCCTCCTCTCTAAACAATTGGTTCATCAAAAGCAAGGTTGCCACTGAGAAGAATAAACAATTTGGTACCCCCTGAATCACTTTTGGCCACCATTAGAAAGACATCAAGAATGTTGATGGTAGAATCATCAAACGACAAAGAAAATCACTCCGAAATTATGATGACAAACAACCTTCAGCCTAAAATGCGAGTAACCATCGCTACCCTCCGGCCAGATTCGCACACGACAGTGCCACTCTACAGGTCTCCATCCCAGATTTAGGAACCCATCATAGACATCACCTATAGCCATGAGAAGCAGTAGCAAGTTCATGGGGAGCCCTTTGGCCGCTGCGCAGGCAAAAGGTTCATAGAAGCATAGGCATCTGATTAAACATGGTGTCGGACATGCATTTCCAACCTTTGACACCAAAGTTGCTAACTACCCACCATGTCTAACCCCCCGAATCCCAAAGCAATTGCAACATACGTAATAATTTCGTTAATGGATGAAGAATAAGAAAATAAGAAGAAGAAGAAGGAGCAATGGGTGGTTAATAGGGGAAAGAAGAAGAAGATGGGGGCAGTGGGAACCACATGATTTTTTTTAATAGTCACGTAATAATTTTGTTAATGAGTTAACATGTGTTAATGACAGATAGACTTAAATTGGACGGATCAATAATTTTAGAGACTTAAATCGAACTGAACGATAATGTTATATATAATTCCCCCTTAATTTCTTTTTTGGTGGCCAAAGTCGGTCATAGCAAAAACATAGGGGACTATTCATATAGTTTACCCAAATAAAATTTATAAATATCTACTCTATATTTAAATTTTAAAATAAATTAATTTGTAATTTAAAATATTAATATTATAATCTTATTAACATTATTCTATTCTATTCTTTTTATTTTTATGTTTTATATATTATTAAATAAATTTAGTTATTTATGATTTGAATTTAGGCATTTTTTAAGTGAGAATATATTTATTTTTAGTTCAATTTATTCACTTAAATTTAAGGTTTAAGGATCATTTTTAACTTTGTAGTAGATTCAGTTTATCATTTTTGTCGTTACGTTATTTTTGCATTAATTTAGACTTTAAAGTTGCTTAATTGCGCCGTCATATACCCTAAACCTAACTTAAAATTTCAAATCCTATATTATAAATTTTAACCCTAAACTTAAAAAACTAAACCCTAATTTATAGTTTAAAACCTTATACAATAGAAAATATTTTGAATAATGATACAAATTAAACAACTTTGAGATCTAAAAATATACGAAAACATCATAGGAATAAAAAATACAAATCAAGCCTACTACATGAACAAAAGTGACCCTTACGCCTAATTAAATATTAACTTAATATTTGAGACAAATTTATGAGGTTATCTAAGAGATTAAAGGAAATATTGTTTTTATTAAAGATTTTAAATTCAAACAGTTACATTTGTATAATCACCCTAACTATTAAAAAAACTTAAGATAATTTAAATAAAGAAATCAATTAAATATTATATTAGCGGTACATTTTCTTATACCTTTTGACATGTTTTCGATCTTTTTTATCAGTCAATCAATTATTATTTTCATTTGTATTTTTCTCAAGGTTGTATTTGACATCGTCTCAACTGATTAAGATGTCACTTATTTGTTATCCTATTGATCTTTCATGCTTTGGACTCTTGAATTAGATTTGATACGTGATTGCATTCATGAATAGTTTTCTCATGTCGCTCGATTCTGATTATATCTATAAGTAATTCAGTTTCCTTTTGTAATTCGTTTATCATACAATCAGATCTATTTGTATATAATTTTATCCATTACACATGAAACAATATCTAGAATGCTTTCTACATTCACTTAAATGCCTTATCTAACAATAGTTGCATATCTGAATATGAGAATCTGTATCTGAACAACTAATACTATTCGGAGAAGCAGTTATATCAGAAGAAAGAACAACAGAATGAGGCTTTGAAACAAATTTGGCTTTGAAGGTTGATTAATGTAGGATTGAGTTCTAAAAGTTCTAACATTTTTTATGATCAAACTTAAAACTTTAAGGAATAACGATAATTTTTTTACTATCAAAGTTGCTAGGTTCAAGCCACTAACTCTCTTTTTAGATATACGAGAATCACCACTTCTTTTGTCACGACGTCCTTGAATAAATTCAATTGAAACCATTCGATTTACTACTAACTATTGAAAATCGGATATACTTCAAGTGAATTGTGCTGAAGCCCAAAGTAATGGTTATCGTTGTTTTTTTTTGCCCAAAACCCCAAGCGGGTTAATTATTTAGTGTATTGGGCCAATATAGATTTTATTTTGAAAACTACGACATTATCTATAGTGAACACCAAACTCGTCACCTCGAGGTGACAATTTCCATAAAATAGATTTTTTAAATTATCCGTGTGAATTGGGCCCATGTGGGTCATTATTTTATTATCATTAAAATGACTTGTCACCTCAGCGTGACGAGCCCGTTTAAAAATATTTTTTAATTACAAAAATAAACTAAAATAAAAAGTATAAATTAAAAAATTGCATGTAACTCGTCACTTTGGTGTGACAAGTTCATTCAAATTCAAAAAATTAGTCGTTGGTCAACGTCTATATGGGCAACGGTTATGGCCAACATTAAAAGTAATTAAATAATTGGAAAAGTAAAAATTTACAAAGAAAATTTATTTATATTTCTTAAGTTATTGACAATGTCGCGGAATGGTCGAATGATAATATCGCGGGGCTCGTCGAGTACGTCGAGGTCGTAAGCTTTGATCGTCGTCGTCGTCTTGTCAAGAAGGTGTACTTAACACACTATGTGATCCGCCTTTGAAATGTGGTGATGAATTTATGACATTTGAAGCCATCATTGTCGTAATTGCGTCGTCTTGGCTTCTACTTTGTTGATCATATAGGATATGATCTCACTCACCCGCAACGCTTATTTTGTCGAAGATGTTTAAGTGTATTGCGATGCATCCCATGAACCTTCAACTCAATTCAGTCGTGTCTAAGCTCAAGTATGAAATGGAGGATAGAAATTGAAACTAGCCTGAGATGCATAATGGTATTATTCAGCTGCAGATGTTGAAACGGAAGAACACGACAACGATGTTTTCTTATACTTGGATTTGGCACATATGACCTTATGATATTCTTATTCTCCCATCTCTTTCGGTGTCGTGAGATATGGTTTCCATTTGCTTCATAATTTTGGAGATGGGGAGAACAGTCAAAATCTAAGTATAGCGGTGTAATGTCGAGACGTTGGGGGAGCGATTGTTCACGCTGATTCCACGCGTTGATGTATATAGCGTGCTTCACCGACAATTTTATGTATGTTTCCCATGCGTATCGATTCTATGGAGAGCGTCCATACCAACCATCTGCGTAAGAATCAATTGATGTGACACAAACTGTCGCATCACTCTATCAGTAGCGTGCCACTCAACAAATGCATAATGAAATAACGGCGTCATGACACACCATAAGTAGGACCCTAAAAAATTCCCCTTTAAAATAACTGGTTGATCTCCTCGTCAACATACGAAAGCCAAGAGAACTGTAAATATTAAATATCAAAATTAGTATATATAAAGTTAAAATGATTCAAAAAAAATCGTATGTCATACTGCATATCGACCGGCTATGTCGATCATCATCCGTATATCTCACACAGTAACACCCGCCAACTTTGTCTCGATATATTATGATGGCATCTAAATTTTTTAAAAATTAATAATATTATAAAAAAATAAAAATAATAATTAAATTTATGAAATTACATGAAAAATAATTACCTTACAGCCAAAGGAAACTTGATCGGGGCTATTGTAATCGATGTAAAAAATGGGAACCGATACCACACCCACGATTGTAGTAATATTAGACAATCTGCTACATCGACTTTTAGACCCGACTGGACAATTGCGACCTTGCAAAGTTCCTGGTACAGAAAGACTAAAATCACCAAGCCCCAACTGATATTACGACACACAACGAAGTATTCCAAATATAGTAAATACTAAGTGTGCACCAAATTATCAAATTTATCCAGTAATAATACTCCTCCGATCAGTTGGAGAAGATATGCTCGAGACGCAAAAATAACTTCCTCATCGGTAGAATCATCTGTCACTTGGAATTCCGATTCCAACCATGTTATCCATACCCGGAAGCTGTCGTTGACGTCGGATGATGTCCATTTTCCCAAAACTTGGTAGACCAACGATGTGGGGTCGTACATGTTCTAACTCACCACGGGGCTCCATTCACAGAAACGTCGAGTTTGTAAACGACGTCTTTCAAAATAATCGTCGTTTCACCACTCGGGAAGTGGAACGTGTGCGTCTCGAGCCACCAACGTTCGACTAGAGCCTCAATTAATGCTAGGTATAGCTTGAAGCCATACACAAATATGGCAAAAAATAAAATGAATTACTGCAGATATATCACGGTTCGCTGATGCGACTCTCTGTATGTCATCCCGCGCTTACAAATATTTCATTCATCATCCGGTCGACGTACAATTGACGAAACATCGATGTTATCTAGGCGCAACTTATATTCTTTGGTTTCCATTTTTTGAGATTTTGACAAAATGTATGGTTTTTTTATAATTTTTTCGGATTTAGTGTTTGGTGAGAAACCAAAACCCCAAACTCTTATATAGTCATTGACCAACGACTAATTTTTTGAATTTGAATAAACTCATCACGCCAAGGTGATGCGTTCCATGCATTTTTTAATTTATACTTTTTATTTTATTTTTATAATTTTAAAAATATTTTTTAAACGGACTCATCATACTGAGGTGATGAGTCATTTTAATAATAATAAATAATAGGCCACGTGAGATCCACTTCACGGGGATAATTTAAAAATAATATATTATGGTGACGAGTTTGGTGTTCACTATAAAGAATGTCGTAGTTTTCAAAATAAAATTCATGTTGGCCCAATACCCTAAATAATTAAACCGCTTGGGGTATTGGGCAAAAAAAACCGGATATCGTTTGCGTAGTATAAGCCCAAGTGAACGCGCTTTGCAAAACTAAAACCCTAAAATATAAATTCTGCACTCCCCTCTTTGTGAAGTTTTAGGGTCTGGTAGCGCAGTTTGAAAAAGAAAATGACTCCATCCACAGAACCATCATCCCAGCAGAATACGGGAAATCAAGCAGTCAGAACCAAGAAAAAGAACAAGAAGAACAAATCATCAGAATCCGAGCATCAAGTTGAAGAAAATGTTAAGCAGAGTTACCAAGAAAACGAGGAAATTGAGCCAAAAGATAGCAAGAAAGACAAGAAAAGGAAAAAGAAAGAGCGCGAAAACAACGGAGGAGGTGAATTCGAGGAAGTGAATCACGATGAAAGCGGTGAGGAGTCTAAGAAGAGGAAGAAGAAGAAGGGGAAGAATAACAAAAAGCAGATGAAAGAGGAAGAAAATGGAGAATTTAATGAAAGTCGAAGTGGGAAAGAAGACACAATTCAATTTGATGGAAAGGAAAAAGTGGTGGTGAGCGGAAAGAATGCTGAAGATGCAAAATATTCGCCCTTGAAATCATTTTCTAATTCTAATTTACCAAAAAATGTTTTGGAATGCTGCAAGGATTTTAGTAGCCCATCTCCTATTCAAGCCCACGCATGGCCCTTTTTGTTGGACGGTCGTGATTTTATTGGAATTGCAAAAACTGGGTCAGGTACTTCGTTTTTGTGCCGCAAATCGCAAAATTTGACATTTTTAGGGCTTTAGTAACCCCTTCTACATGTGATGCTGAATCTATTTTGATTTGTTTTATTGTGAATCAGGCAAGACTTTGGCATTTGGCGTACCGGCAATGATGCATGTATTGAACAAGCGAAATGGTAAATCCTCTAGAGGGAGGAATCCACTTTGCCTTGTGCTTTCCCCTACAAGAGAGCTAGCTGAACAGGTATGAATATGTTTGACTTGGTGTTGCTGAATCTATAAAGGTTTGTTTTTTCTCTTTAGAGTTTAATCAGTCTTTTGGCTTCATCTTCTGGTGGTAGATATTTAACGTTTTGTGTAATGCTGGCCAAGCGTGTGATGTCGAATCCGTTTGTTTGTATGGGGGAACATCTAAAGGGCCACAGATTTCTTCTTTAAAGTCTGGCGTTGTAAGTTAATTTACGTCATTTTCTGTTCTTTTTGTGTGCATCAGTATTTTTGGTTAACATGTTCCTTTTACCATACGCATCTTTCTTTTTTTACCTTGTTTTGGTTCAAATGTTCTTTTGCTTGTTTTGAATAAATTTATTCTGCTAGCACATTTTAGGGTTGATGTTTCTACAATTTTTGTGTATAAAGCTTTTATATTGGCTAATAGAAAATGGATTTTGCTGTGAACTTAGGATATAGTCATTGGGACACCGGGTCGTTTGAAGGATTTGATGAATATGGAGGTGTGTCAGCTTAATGAGGTATCTTTTGTGGTAAGTGCTTGCTTCTTCATAATCATTACTCTCATCCATTGAACTTTATCTTGAAATTATTCAATTGTTTCTGTGTCTTCTTTATTTATTATCAGGACAATTGGTTCAATTTATTTGCTATAGTTGCTATTGTTTTTCAATTGCTTCCATTAGAGCGCTTTGATTATGCTTGATACATCTACATCTTTCATATAACCCATCTCTTAAATAGATGCACTGATGGAGTATGCAAGTACTAAGGAAATAGTGAATTGATATTCTGTAGGTCTTAGATGAAGCTGATCGAATGCTTGACATGGGCTTTGAAGAGGATGTTCGTTTTATATTGGGAAAGACATGTTTTGGTATGTATCATTGTTTCTTGGTTGATACATTGGGATTTTATACTCCTAGAAGATGATTAGCTTAAAGCTTTTACTGATGCTTGAGCTTTTACGGTTGATAATGACTCTTGAGTAAATGCTACTAACTATTGATACATTGTTCTGTATCTTTGTAGAATAATGCATGAGCAATTAAGTTGGATATTCTCATGTCTCTTTTATCCTTTGCAGCTCGTCAGATGGTAATGTTCAGTGCTACATGGCCTGCAGCAGTTCACCGGTTAGCTCAAGAATACATGGACCCTAATCCTGTTAAGGTAGATATCTTCATGCGTGATGAAATTTTTGTAATTTATTTATTTGGTAAAGTAGCGAGTTTGTTTTCAGGTTGTGATTGGGTCAGAAGATTTAGCTGCCAACCATGATGTTATGCAGATAGTTGAGGTCTGATTTTACTTAACAACGGCTAAACCATCTTTCGTATTAACTTATTTTGTGTGTATCGACAGTTTGTTTTCATATGTAGGTTTTGGATGATCGTGCACGTTATGAACGATTGATTGCTTTGCTCAAGAAGTACCATGAATCTCAGAGGTAGTTAATCTCACAAATATTCTTGTAACATTTTTCTTTTTAATTCTTCCAGTTGTAGATTGCTCCGACAAGAATGTGAATTTGTTTTTACTTCAGATAATTCTGTATGAAATTGTAGTGTAGCCTGCAAATAGATTGAACATATCAAAGAAAAGTGTGGGGGTGGGATGAACCTAGAAAATATGGAGTAAACATGAAGTTTCCTTAAAATTTCATCATATTAGCCATCCAAGAAATCCATATATTCTCTAGTAGATTATGAATATTGAATTATTTAATAGGATTTTTTTATTATTTCATTTTGTTGGCATTAATCCTATGGGAATAATAAGCCCGTACTATTTCATTAAGTTGAGTAGGTTTGTATTATTCTGTCATAAGAAATCCTTATGTTCTCTAGTAGATTATGAATATTGATTTATCTAATAGAGGCTTTCATTTCAATCAGGAACAGGGTGTTGGTATTTGTCTTGTACCAGGCAGAAGCGGATCGTATAGAAAATATGCTCAAGAGAAGGTAAACTTTACTTCCCTTGTCTCATTTAAAATAAATTAGTTATCTCTTCATTGGCTAAATAGAATAGGCAGTATTTAGAATTTGCATTTAGTTTTTTAAATTGCTCTAAGGTCATTGGCATGATATTCATGTGATTTTGAGTTGTGCAATTAAATATATCATAATAATTACTTGATGGTTTAAGCTGGTTGGGTATAAAAGTTCAAAATCGGTCATGCATACATAATTGCATCAGAATTTTAACTATACTTTTATTTCAACTTCTTACTTTTGTTAGTTCATTTTGTTTTATTTTTTTCTAGTGGCTGGAATGTTGTTTCTATACATGGTCGCAAAGCACAAAATGATCGCACTAAGGCTCTATCATTATTCAAGAAAGGAAGCTGTCCTTTGATGGTATACTCCTGCAAATTATATATTTTGTTTTTAAATCATTGTTACAACTTTCTGCCGAAAGAAAAAACAATAACACACTTGTGGACTTGGGGTTTATGTTGATCTTGACTGAAGACGTTTGCAAAATTTGATTGGTAGAACTAGATTATATCCTTCAGCCAGTTATACAATTAATGTAAATAATAAATACTAGAATTTCTCTAGGCATATTGATTTAGTTTAACTTTTGATACTTATTAACACGATGTGATTCAGGTAGCTACGGATGTTGCTGCAAGGGGGTTGGATATTCCAGATGTAGAGGTAGTGATCAATTATAGTTTTCCTCTCACTACAGAAGATTATGTACACCGGATAGGGAGGACCGGAAGAGCTGGTAGAAAGGGTGTTGCTCACACATTCTTCACTCAGCAGAATAAGGTAAACCTAAATACAAATCTTTTTTACATTCTTAAATTAAACAAGTTGGTTTCGATAAAGGATATTGGTAAATGGAACATGGTAAATTTTATTTCTTTCGAGTAGTGACAAGCTTATGGCAGGGACTTGCTGGAGAACTGGTAAATGTTCTCAAAGAAGCTGGGCAGATTGTACCACCAGCACTGTTGAAATTTGGAACTCATGTCAAGAAGAAGGTTTGTTTTTTTACCCCTCTTGCATGCATCCTTATGTTCTTTTCCGTTGAAGTTTGTGTGGTCTAATTGTTTTTTGGTCACTAATATTTTTTAAATTATTACAATTAAGCCCTTGACTCTCCCAAAATTTGCTGGTTTAATTATTTTTAGTACCATTTCAGTTCTAAAATAAAATCATTTAGACCTGTAATTTTTCTGGTTTAATTACTCTTTAAAATTTGTGAATTAAACCATAACTCTTTAAACTTTGTGGTTTATTCAATTTTAAAGGCCTTATTTGTTTCAAAGTTAAATAATTTGCCCCGTCATATTTCAATCCTGACTCTGTCCCTGCTTATTGTCTTGTGACATGTATTAGTGATGAGCAAAAACGTCTTGTTCTTTGAACTAGTATGCATGTTTGATCATCTTGTTACCCTGCTTAATACAGGAGTCCAAGCTATATGGGGCTCACTTCAAGGAGATCGCTGCTGATGCTCCAAAGGCTAAAAAAATAACATTTGACGACTCAGATGATGAAAACTGATCTACATGGCCTGCAGTAAAATATGTAGACTAATTTTTTATTCAATGATTTTCCCCCATATTTTATTTTTAACCATTTTTGTTTAAGCAAAAATTGATCTGAATGTAGGCCGTTCTGTCCGGTGGAATGTAAACTGTAAACCTAGATCTTGCTTATTTTCATTGAATGGTCCTCTTGTTAAGAATCTCATATAAAAAAAATTGGGAAACCTAATCTGCAAGAAATGATGTTGGAATTGATTTATATCTTTATATTCTTTTTTTATTATCTTTATATTCGTTTGCCAATGAATATTAAGAATATTTAAACTCGAAATCAAAGAATAATAATAATTTTTTATCACATAAAGAAAAATCTAATCTAATTTATTATAAATAATAATTCTTAATATTCGAAATCGGGATCACTGCGTTTCTGTAGTAAATGAAAAGATTACTTCCAAATGACAGAGAATCTAATCTAAACAGACAAAAACCCATGACGCTAAGCAAACTTAAACTAAAGCCAACCCTAACCTAAAGCAGTTCCCACTCTTGTCATCTTCTCTCCCCGTCTTTTTATGCTTGGCTCTTGAGGGAGCCTGTAACATCAAAATTAATGCTTCTCAGTTGAATTTTCCCTTTTTGTCCTGAACAAATCTGAGATCGGAAGACCCTTTTGTCTGAAATTCAGTTTCAACATGGTTGGTATTTTCCCTAGATTGTCTGTTGGGAAAGCCGGCCATCGACAATCCCAGAGTTCTCTTGTAAGAAATCTTTTTTATTTTTTCCCCAGGGATTTGCTTGAGTGGAATCATGAACATGTAAATCTAAAGATTATTTTTATATGTTCTTTTGGTTTTCTTTTGTTTGATCGGTGAATTCTTTTTTGGATTGCTATATGTTGGAATTGGTTGATGTACTTTGAGATGTCGATATTGATATCAATTTGTGATCTGACCTTTCCTTTTGTTGTGATACTTGTTTGAGAGTTTCTCTATCCCATATGTCATTTACTTGCCTTGATTTTGGGATTCATTAGATGACTATGATGATTCAAACCCAGAAATTACTGATATAACCTAAACCCAGATTTTTCTGATTATTAATCTGTTGTATTTGAGTTGTTGCAGACACGAGTATGGCTAATGAGTTACTAATTGTGGTTCAGGTGGAAAGGGAAGCCGTGCCTCCGAATCAGGATGTCGTTGCACCGGCTGCGGCTACCGCTACGGCTCACGGAATCGAAGTAGTGGTTGAGTTTAAACCGGTAGAACATCCGATTGAACCTTTGGACGACGACCGGCCGATCCAATGCCCGCTGCTCGAGCCTTCGATTCTAAATGTAAGCTTTGGGAACTCATCCTTTGTTGCAAGGTTCGTGTTGGTAAAGTTAGCATAGCTTGTCACGGTTACGTGGTAAAGTGACCATGTAAGAGTTCTCATGAGCTTGTCATTGATTGTGCTTATATGCTTTGCATTACATATGTTGTGAAATCAGGATGGAAGAATATGGAAAGAGCGAGTATCGGCTACGGCCACTGTACGACGGAGAGCTGATTTGCCGGTAATGAAGGGTGGAGGCACCCTTACATCAGAGACCGAAGCTACTACTGGAACCAAACCCCGGCCGGCCTCGAATCGGATGATATTGCCATCTGTAAGCGCCCCGGAACACGATTTATTAAATCTCCTCAAAGAATGCAGTGCATCTGGGATCTAAGCCCTGCTATCAACCGGAGCACACTTCACCTTCATTCCAGTAATTTGCCCATCATCTATAAATTCCTACCTGTAATTTGTTTTTTGCCACCTAGTAAACTATGCAGTCCCTTATCTTTTCGTCTAACCGATTTTGGTCATTAATTTAAAATTAAGGAGAATGGTCCCTAACGTTATCATTCCGTTTGATTTTAGTCCCTAACATTGTTGATCTGTTCGATTTAAGCCCCTTAGCCATTAACTCCTGTTCAATTTTAGTCCTTAAGCCATGTTAGGGACTTAAACAAAATGGGTTATGAAAAATTAATAGCTGAGGGATTAAAATCGAACGAATCGATAACGTTAAGGATCATTTATCCTTAATTTTTAAATTGATGATAAAAATCGATCAGACCCTAAACATAGAATAGAAAGACTCTCCGCATGGTTTACCTTTGAATATATTATACAACACGGAAACGGAAATGAAAATGTTATCTTCACCTCACTTGCATATGTTGTAATAAATCACATCTGATTTCCGATCCATCTTTTTCATTGTGCTTCTAATATTATGGTTTGTCGTACATAAATTTTAGGTAGATTACACATTTAGTATTTAAACTATCATTTTTTATTTGTTTTAGTACTTAAATTTTGAATTTTTTTAAAACCATAAAAATTGAATTTTAAGTATGATCTTGAAAAATTAAAAGTTTGAGTACTAAAATAGATTAAAACTAATAATTTAAATATTAAACGTGTAATTTATTCAAACTTTTTAAGCGGCTATTCAGTAACTCGACTAAGCTGAAGCTGAATGGAGACAACGAAACGAGAAAAGAGTGTTCGAAATGTGTTAAACAGTTGGTAATACAAAAGGAGTAATAAATGTTCCAACACAGCACAACCCATACCCATTGTAACCCATACACGAATCAGATCCCATACTAACCATAAACGAAACAGATGCAAGGCCACAACCTAACAAAAGCAAACCATAATCCATACCGCCCTTAATCAAACCACAACATCAATCAAAACCATAAGCAGCATAGAATCCCCATAAGAATTGACAATCGCAGAACACCATATCCCAACCAGCAAAAAAAAAACGATGCAGGACAGAAAACCCGACAGAAAACCAGATCGAATGATAAATCTCACCAGTTCAAGAACTGGCCAGAAAAGACAGAACAGATCAGAAAAACCCTTCAAACGAAACCATTAAGAACGAACTAACAAAAAAATCCCTTTTCCTTGACACAGATCCAATCGAGACCAATGCAGGATTAATAATAAGATTGTTGACTGAAGGTATCTTGTCAGGCCAATTGCATTTACTCCACCAAACGAGTCGAGTAAGGAAAACATCAAAAATTTGGTTCTCATCCACTTTCTTTACGAGAAAAATTACTTCATTCCGAAAGAGCCATATTGACCAAGCCAGACCACGGAGAGCCATCAACCAAATCGGGCGAGAACCAACACGAATCTTACAAGAAACCCACGAGGAAACGAAAGATTTTAGATCTCTTGGCATTACAAAATTAACGTCCCACAGCTTGCAACGCCGCTGCCAAAGCCTCCAGGACACGATACAATGACAGAGAAGGTGAGAAACAGATTCAGTTGAATCAGAACAGAAAGGGCAACCAAGTTGATCACTGCCAACAATACCTCTCGAAAATAAAACAGATTGGGCAGGTAATCTTTCAAGCACTAGCCGCCACATAAAAAATTGAACTTGGGAGGTATAAATTGGAATCTGTTCATTCTCCTGAAGCATTGGAAATGATTCAAAGCCACGTATCCACGTATCCATAGTTCTCTCGAGTTGATCAACACTGTCAACTCGAGAGAACTATGAAGACCCTTCCCGAGGATTTCACTAAGGGCCAAGCAAGATATGAGTTTCCAAATCCGGAGAAGTAGCTCTGGGATCCAGATTCTTTGATCATGATCCCACCGGATGATGACGATGATGGTGATGTAGGAGGATACGCTGACGCTGAAGGAAAAACATATAGACTGAGATCCTATGTCATGTATTTGGATTCTGAGAAACTTCAGAGATACGCAACCATAAGATCCAAAGAAGCTATTTCATTGATTGAAAAGCAAACGCAAGCACTGTTCGGGAGGCCTGACATTCGGATTCTTGACGATGGTTCACTTGATAAATCAAACGATGAAGTAGTTTCCATCACTTTCTCTGGGTTTTGACAATGATAGTCTTGGGAGCGGTGGCATTCGTATCGTTCCTATGGGATGCAGAGAGCTATGTCGAATCAAAGTATCATTTTCTTAAGAGCTAACCAGCATCTTTGCAATTGTTGTGTAATGAACGATTCCCGTTGCAGCTATATAAAACATGATGAATGGTTAAAAAGTTATACTACATGCTAGTTTCTAGGGAATATGATGTTGCAAGAGTAACCATTTTTCCGCACTTTTTATGGAAAAGAAAAATAAAATTGAAACAGGTCCTACCGGGAGTCGAACCCAGGTCGCTGGATTCAAAGTCCAGAGTGCTAACCACTACACCATAGAACCAATTTATTGATATCATATTTGACATTGATACAAATTATGGGTATATTTGATATTAGCACAACTTTATGGTACTTGATATTTGACATTAATAAGAATAATGGGCATACTTCAAATCCTGGTATGAGATCTAACTTAATATTCGACAAATTCGAAAGGTACTTACATGTATTACAGGCACAGGGCACTTCACCTTTTTAACTTCATTGATATTCTGCAGTTTAAAGAACAGTAATTTGCTCAAGTTGCCAATGATGTCAACAAACTGATATACCAATCATCATACTGTCTTAAAATCGAGGGGATGTCTAAAGAAAGGAAATACGACCTAATATAAGGCTAAGAAAAGACGTTACCAGAAATGTTAATATTTTTTTAACATCTCCGGTAGAACGCTACCTAAAATGTTATTTTTTATACCGGAAATATTAACATCAGACGTTACCTAAAATGTTATTTTTTCTACCGTAAATGTTAATATCATAAATATTCATTTTAGGTACAAAAATTAACATTTCCAGTATTTTAGGTAGAGCTCTACCTAAATTGTTAAAAAAATATTAACATTTCCGGTAACGCCTTTCTTTAACCTTATATTAAGCTGTTATACAACAGAACTCCCCTAAAATCGATACGGTCAGATATCGTTCTCGCAAGGCAGTCGATTTACGGTTATTACCTCGAAAATGTCGTAGCAGAATGTAAATTTAACATGGCAGAGCACACGAAGGCCGGAAAGAACTACGTATTCATTCTCGCATAAAAAATCAAATTATGTATGCATCAAATTTTTTATGCTCTTTTGTTTTACGTAGTTTTGCTGGTGTGGTGTGATGACGTGACATGCTGCTGACATGGCAAAATAACATGCTATCTTATATATGAATGCATGTTACTGACATGGCAAAATAACATGTTATCATGTACATGAATATTTGTTGAAGTGACATTTTTTATGAAGTAGCATGATGATGTGGATATATCACACAATATTATTTACACGTGTATATGTTGAATCGGCTTAGTGTTAATCGTTTGTTGACTAACGATTTCCATTCATGAAGAGGTGAGGTCCTTTTGTCCCAAAATGAACGGGACAAAATGAACGTTAGTTTGTATATGCTCATATAAATTTTCCTTCGCCAACAACAAAAGGTCATATATAAATTACCAAATTGCTTTTACCTTGCAAAAAGTAGGCTTTAATGTTTTCTAGAATTAGAAACTGATTGTCATTGCCTTTGGCCTCAAAATACTGCAAAAATAATCTCCACACAGTTTTTGAATAAATCACAGCAAACACTAAAGCAGGTCCAAATATGCAGTTTCTATACCAAAATCCTTACAGCAGACGCTATAGCCTGCACCTCTGTTTCCCCAACTTTCTTCCACACTCCATCCATCATAAGGTGCCCACAAGTGCTCGGTGAAGAAACGTCTTCGCCACCCGATTCATGGTAGTTCTCTACCGTTTCCTTTAGTTTCTTCGGGCTTGGGATATTCATTAGCTGGATATCATCACTGGCTTCTCTCTTGCCGCGTTGCCCATTAAGTTCCCGCTTGTTCTTCCCTTGCATTGATTCACATGTATCCTTTTGACAATCACTATCACGTTCAAGAACCGGAATGCGGCCAGAAGACCCAAGAGTACGTGGAAGCATACCGAGTGGACATGGATTCCATGATTTTGCCACAACCCATCTGTTCAATTTTCTAACTTCTGCTGTTTTCATGACAGCTCTCTTCGTTCGACGAAGTTTCAGAAGTTCTAGCTTCTTAGCAGCTTGATCAATATATTCCTCATTTTGACTAAAAATTCTCGAAATCTCATTTGAAGTATTTTCTTCCATAAGCTCTGTACTTGACAAACCTAAGGAACGGAGTTTGTTGAGTTTCTCCATCAAAACACTGTTTCCGACCAGCTGTGCAATATGAAGGGCTGAATCCAAGAGATGGTCATTACAGAAAGCCGACATCAAAAGACATTTACGCAGTAGATCCAGCAGAATTGTATTTGACATGCCTATTCCAACAGAACCTTTGATGTGACTGGCTTTTAATTCCAAATGTCTAACCAGCCATGCAAACAAAGATGAGAGAGGTTCTATTTCGTAAGCCTCTGGTCTTCTCCCCGATGATGTTGACTGACCTTCTAAATAAGAATCAGAAAAAGAAGAGTGAGATAGAAAGTAAACAAAAGGTTAAATTTGGTAGAAGTCTTCCACTAAGCTAGCAAACAGCAGGCAAAGACAAAAGGTGACATTCAAAAGGGATGCACAACCTAGTCGATATAACTACATGTTTACCTGTTTCATATTTTGTTGCATCCTTTGCCCCAATCATATCTAGAATCCTCTGAAGAAGGGCATGAAGCAATTCTGGTTCCTTCTTTGAAATTTTTTTTATGATAAGCTGCCAATCATCCAATGCATCATGTTTATCTAGGCCATCTTCGGTCCCTTTTGAAATGTTCATGGAGCTTGAAGAATCTAAAGCCTTCAGCAAGAATTCCAATAATACAGACACTACTTCTGAGGATGAAGTAGAATATAAGCTTACAAGACTTTTTAAGGTTTTGCTAATCTGTTTCTTTGCACCTGAAAACACAGACACGTCAGAAAATGAGTAATTTTGTTAAAGACATGAAGTGCACATATACAGCAATATCTCAACACATTCTGGTCAAAGCACACACAAAGAAAAAAAACTGACCACTCAATTACCGGTTTTCAGTGGAAAATTCATTAAAAATTCTGTAAAGTAAATGTCGCAATATGTTTAATGGTAAAGCAAACCCATAAATAAAATACCATTTTCAAGAAAGACCAATGCTCTTCATCTCCTATATTTTGAGCCGAAAAAGGAAAGGGAGAAAATGAAACAACATAGACAAAAAGAATTTAGGAAAGCACACATTTTTCCTGGCTCAACGTAGAGTGTAAACATTATAAACTTCTCTTTGACCAATAGCTCTAAAAGAGTCGTCTAACATTTCGGGTAAAACAAATGCTGTCTAATAATTAATAATCGAAAAGAATAATAGAAGTAACTTCCATGGGGAAGATAATTCTAATGTTCTTTCAGTTGAAATAATGAAACAACATGTTCTAAACAGGTCAACCGAAGAATAGCATAATTAAATTATTTGGTTTCTTATACCAAACATCACAATTCTTCTGTACCAAATGCACCTAAAAATAACTGATCAGGGAGGAGGATATCTTACCTCCAGATTGGCATGAATGGAACTTCCCAGCCATAAGTGAAAAGAATTTACTACGGCCACAAAGATGTTTGACCTGTCTGCCACCTGTAAAAAGTAGATAATATAAACTATGGTAGGAATTGAAGGCCTCATTAAAAACCTCCTTCATGATTAAAGGAACTTATGGATAAGCTCCGAGGAAAAGAGTGCCTTAAGATTTCATTAATCATTAAAAAATACAAGATACAACCTGAGAGCCACCCCCAACATAAACATAACACCAAAAGCAGCCGCAAACAACCCTAAACAACAACATAGACTCAGCCTAATCCAACTTAGCATCAAACCCTAGAGATTAGGAGGAAAATATTACAAAAGGCACCAGGCAATGGGAACAAATCACTTACACTTATATTAGTTGCAGGAGAGGAAAAAAAAGGCTCAAACATTAGGAACGAAGTATTGGTATAAATGAAAGTTAAAGAAGAGACAAAAACACCTTTTCCTTTGACTAGCAAAGATCTAAGTTCAGGATTATGCTGGACTTTTATGTATAAAGCCAATTCACGGAGTTTGGATTTGATTTCTCTTTGAGCATTAACAATTCCATCTCTATGAAATGAAATTTGCTTCTTCTGAGGTTCCCAGTAATAGGATTTCAGCCAGTTAAGTGCCTGAAATTAGTAAGAACCACATAACACATCACAAATTTGAAAAATACAAAGGAAAACGACTATAAGATAAAGATGAAGAAGACAATAACAAATGAAGCACCTACCACGACTGATGAATCCCGAGCAATTGTGAGTGCTGGTAGGTCGCGGTGAGAACCCTCTGCAAATATAAAGAAACAAAGAAATCAAACCATTTTTTCTTGTTCGAGCTGAATGACTCAACGAAGATAACTTCCACACTACCACCATACTAATTATTAAAGCTGTGCTTACCATGACGAACATCAATCAGTCTTCTCGGAATACCGATGGCATCGGCTGCATCAGCAATCGAAATCCCAGTTCTCTTCCGTGTCTTCTCGATGACACAGTTAACAAGCCTCCAAAGATTAACATAAAAAAGCATATCAAAGCATAAAACTAGAAAGACACTAACTTTAGTCCCCCTCCCCGCAAAGTGTTTTCCATCTACTAAGAAAAAGAAAGAAATTCACCTCAAGATTGCCATGCAATACAACATAGCTAGCATTTGTTCTGAATGTGAACCATCGTTTGATTTGTCGCCTCTACAGATAGAAGGGAACTATACATAACCCTGTTGGAAAAATAGGGGAAATTTTAATGAGTAAAATGGTTACCGGAAGAAAGGATCGGACTGTTGAATTTCAACGATTGAAGCAGTGACATCAATCACAACTGGTAAACAACCTCTGCTCCGCCACGTCGATATCTAAAAATGGAAACTTTATGAGAAACCAACAAAGAAGAAAAAAAACGGACGAGAAGAGAGAGTTTTACGTACTCTCGAGAGAGCAAAGGAAATCTCGAGTGGAGAAGAAGAGAAGAGGGAATTTCTAACAGATTCCCATTCGGCCCAGTTCAACCAGGGCACCAATTTGTAGTCACCGGAAGGTGTGGATGACGAAGACTCTTGATTATAAGCTTCAATGGTCTCCTCTTCGAACCCTAGCAGTGGTTCCATTAGAACTGAACGACGATGTGCAGAGGGGTTTCTCCTTTTTTTTCTTAAACCCTTCCCAATCTAGGAAATTGAAGTTGGGTTAATGGATTGGGTTTCATCCTATTGAACCCAGATAAAAAACTTTATGGAATTTTTATTGGCAAAATTATACGGGTTAGTTATATAGTCCAATTCCACACTAGATATCTTATTTTCTGAATTACAGCATTTGTTATAAATATATTTTTTATTCGAATTTATCACTCTAATATTACAAAATTTTAGTAAAATAATATATTTTTAAAATTTTTTTAACTCAACGTGATAAATTAAATAAAAAATATTATTTTGGTAAATTCGTCACTTGAACATGATGAATTTACTCTCTACTATAATATATTCCAAATTGATTTTAAAGACCTAACGATCTAATTCTTTTAAGGGGTCTGACCTATCGGGTCAATTTTACCATTTGTATTACTGTTAGCTTCTTGCTTTCTAAGTTTTGGGAGTCAAGTCCATTAATTACGAAATGGGCCCACATAGACACGGTGGTTTTAGTATTTTGTTTTCTGGGCAGGGAGCAAAGCCATTTTAATTTAGTATTTTTTTTATTAAGATAAATTACATCGTCTCTCTCTAAACTTTACTTTCGTACTTATTTTATTCATCATACTTTTAATTTTATTCACTGAAATTTATAGATTAAATAATTTTACTTGCTCTGCCGTTAATTCTCTAATAGTGTGATGATGTGTTATTTTATTTTTATTAATTAATATAAAATAATTAAAAAATATAAAAGGGTAAATTACATTATTCCTCACTAAACTTTATTCTCGCTCCTATTTTGTTCACCCAACTATAAAATAAAATAGAAGGTGGTCGGATGCCACTGCCGGCCACTGTCGACCTTCGTATATGGTAGTCGTTCTGTCCCAAATTTCATGGGTCGCTTCGCCTCGACACTTTGAGTCTGAATCCAACCTCCATTTTATCGGAACTTGCCCCCAAATTCCATGGATTGGAGATTAAAAGTAAGGAAGACGAAACATTTAAATTGAGATTCATAGATTTTGGCTCATTTTCTGGTGAAACAACCATTAGATTTGGACTTAGGGGGTCAAGACGAAAAAATCACCATCGACGAAAGTAGACGGTGGATGTAATGAAAGATGACATGGTGGCCGGCGGCGGCAACCGGTCACCTTATTTGCAAAGTAGAGACAATATAAGGGAAAAGAAGAGGATTCGAATTTGGTGTATATTTGAGTTTTTCAAAACGACGTCGTTTTGACACTTGTGTCATGTCATAATAGCGTTAAAAGGTTAACGACATAGTGAGTAAAATGATTCAATCTGTAAAGTTCAGTGAGCAAAATAGAAAAATTGAAAGCATGGTGAATAAAATAGGAGAGAGAGTAAGTTCAGTGAGGAACGGTGTAATTTACCCTTTTATTTACAAAATTTGAATCTAAATCTTTTTTTAATACCAAAGGAGAAAGACTTGCGAACCTAAGCTAATCACCATCGTTTTGCTGAGCGCAGCTATGAGCATCCTCATGCAGCAGTAATCTTATCTCATTGGGTGGTTGTTGGAAAATTCGAACAACAAACTTAAGAGAATTTTATCGATATCATTGTCATCTGATACCTTATTTCTTTCTCGAGGTATGTAAATGAGTTTTAAATGTCAATATGTGGAATCATAGGGGCCCATTGTCACATACCCTATTCTACTAAAAACAAAGTGTCTTCATGATGATAGCCTGCACGTCGTCCCCCATGCAATATATAATCCCTCATACACACCCTGGAATTCCACATTCAGATCGAACAGCATCCTTATAACCACATGAGCCATATACCAGTAGTGTTCCACAATACACCACCACATGCCGTCAGCCTCGAAACATGCTTCTCGCCACAGTAGGGTTCAATTTACACCGTCCCACCGGAGGTTTACCTTATGATATTTCAAATTGATTGTGGATACCTTTCAAAATCTCCATCTGAACTCCCACTATGATTCTTATCGTGATCCATTATGAATTGCACGTGACAATTCTTCTATCACATGTAGAATTTTAGTAAATCCATTTCTTTACCATGATTTTCTTTCGGAATGCCACTATCTTATTCGATATAACGAGACTCTGATTATTGATGTGGGTAAGAAAAAGAAATAACATTTAGTAAAAGAAATAAGGCATGACAAAACAATAGAAAAGAAGATGAAATTCAAGAAAAAAAATTAAATCAAAAGAAAGCAATAATGATGTGAATGTATGTATATTGAGATTACAAAAATAATTTAATTTTGTTAGTACAAAATTAGGCTATTTGAGTCGTGTAGTATTTCTGTTGAGTTTTTTTTTTTTGCACTTTTGCAACTGATTCTCTGTTTCTTACATGATCTCGTCGTTTATTTCCTGGATAAGGTTATTTGTTACAAATCTAATTGTTGTAGTTTTAAGGATTGGTGTTTTGTCTGTCAAATCGATTGTTTTAGAAAAACAATATGATGCCGTTTTCTTTGTCAATTTCATGAGTTGTGGTGGAAGGGACTTAATTTCGTTACTCTGTTCCTTTTTTATACCAATTTCAGTGTACGAGATTTTTCATCAAGTAGACAGGGAATTAGCTCAAACTTGTTTCATGATGAAAGGTGGGTCTCAAAAAGTAGACAGGGTTCCTCAAAAGTTCTCGTCTTTATTGGAGTTGTCGGCTTCGAATGATCTCGACGGCTTCAAAAGTGCCATTGAAGAAGGGTGTCATGACATCATTGAGTCGAGCTTGTGGTACGGGAAGAGAATTGGTTCGAGGAAGATGGGATTTGAAGAAAGAACGCCCCTTTTGATTGCTTCTTTATTCGGGAGCAAGGACGTCGTGGATTATATCGTTAAAAGTGGCCGTGTTGATGTTAACTGGACGTATGGTTCCGATGGTGTCACTGCTCTTCACTGTGCTATTGCTGGTGGATCATTTTGTTCGAATGAGATCGTAAGAATCTTGCTTGATGCGGGTGCTGAAACCGGTTCTCTCGATGCTAATGGAAATCGGCCTATTGATTTGATTTCACCGGTGGCTTGTAATTTAGCTCTCAGTTCGAAGAAGAAGATGTTAGAGTCTTTGTTGAAAGGAAGCGGATGTGAGGGTGAAGTAGAGGGCTATAATTCAATGGTTCGAGTTTTGAAAGATGGAACCGAGAAGAAAGAGTATGCTAATGATTTCATTCTTCCGGACATTAAGAGTGAGATGTATGGCACAGATGAGTTTAGGATGTATAATTTCAAGGTCATGCCTTGCTCGAGGGCTTACTCTCATGACTGGACCGAGTGCCCGTTTGTTCATCCGGGAGAAAATGCGAGGAGACGTGATCCTAGGAAATACCTTTACAGTTGCGTTCCCTGCCCTGAATTCCGCAAGGGTTCCTGCAAGCAGGGCGATAACTGCGAGTATGCACATGGTGTTTTCGAGTCTTGGCTTCATCCTGCCCAGTATCGAACTCGTTTATGCAAGGACGGAACTAACTGCAGTAGGAGGGTTTGTTTCTTTGCTCACAATCATGAAGAGCTTCGCCCCATATATGCTTCAACAGGTTCAGCAGTGCCTTCCCCAAGATCATATTCAGCTATCGATTCCTCTTTAGAGATGGGTTCAATGAGCCCACATGGTCTTGGCTCCCCTTCTGTTTTGTTACCTTCAACATCAACACCGCCTTTGCCCCCTTCTGGTAGTACATCTTCACCTATGGCTGGAGTGATGTGGCCTAACCAGTCTAACATTGTACCATCACTGCAGCTTAATGGTAGTAGGCTGAAAAATGCTCGACGTGTTAGGAATATTGACTTGGACATTGAACAAGTCGGGCAGGAAAGTCGTCGCCGCCGCCAAACTCAGCAGCTAATCGATGAGATACCCGGTCTTTCCTCCACCATAAATTGGAAGAATCCAGTGTCCACTACTTCAACTTTTGTATCTGCAGAAGGAACTGGTGAATCCAATTGGTTAGGAGGAATCTCACTTGATACTTCAACCCATCATCTGCAGTCTCCCACTGGAGTTAGCTACATGACCAACCTAACATCCTCTCCAATAAGGGCATCTCAATCCTTTGGGGTCGACCCATCTAGGTCAACTGCAGGCATAGTTTTAAGCCCAAGGCCAGCTGCCTTTGCAAACCGGAGCCCAAGCTTTATGGAACTTATAAGTGCAGTGCCTTCTAACTTCTCGGATTTGGGTTCGCCTGATGGAAAACTAGAGTGGGGTATACAGGGAGAAAAGCTGAATAAACTAACACAAGCTTCGTGTTTTGAGTTCCAAAGCAGTAGCATCAATTTGGGAGATCCAGCACAGTCAATGTCGTCAAGTTCAGACGAGCCAGATGTGTCATGGGTCCAGTCTTTGGTGAAGGACATGGACACCCTGTCCGAGCAGTTCAGTTTCAAGGACGAGCACTAGGAGCAATATTATACGGAACACGATTTGGTGAGCAGAACAAAAGCTTTCAGCTAATACTAATGAAAGTTCCAGCGTAATGATTTGGTGAGAAGGTAGGTTAATATAAAGTTATTATTGTTTTAATTATTGGGGTTGTTGTATACATTTTATGTACCAAAAAGTATTGAATTATTTAATATTTGAAACACGATTTATATTTTAGGCCTTACCAGAAAGCAATGGTCAACAAAACTGGCCCACTCCTGACTTCCTCCATAACTAATATTACAGTGTTTACCCACTAAAATTACTACAACTGTTAATTTAACTTGAAATTTTAACTACTTGGTTTTCGTTAAATTACCAAACTTCCCCAATTTACCATCCATGAGGATGTTACGGGTAATTCACGAAGAACCAAGACCCTATTTCTCTGGTGCATCAGCAGCCCCACTGCAAGAACCTGAGCCAGCACCATTCCCTTTATCGGGGCAGCTAAGGGTGCCACTACCACTACTCAGAGCAGCACCGATTTGGTGAACGGTTGTGCATAAATGGTTTTTTATGGCTGCAATGCTCGACAGATTGATCTTTGCTGATGGAATTGTGCTGGCAAGTACTTGAAGTCCAACGGTGAGTAAACTGCCTGCAGATATATGCCCATTTGCATCTCTTCAGTATTGTGAGCATCTTTGATGAGTTCCATTGGGGTTATAAAAAGGCCTAATGGAAGCAATGGGATGGAAGCAATGGGATGCAAGATGGGTCCTCCCGCTCATCGCGAGCTGAACGGAATCGACATCGAGAGTTGAGTAAACAACGAGGCTACCGGATCGGTATGTGCTGCTGTCTTGCAGCATCAGCTCTACGCTCTGGGAGGAGTTGCCGGCAACCTGCATTTAATGTAATTAGAAGTTATAGGGTTGATTTTATGTAAATGAGGGGAAAGATGTAACATTTAGCAATCGGAGAAGGAAATTAATATATTGATTCTAAGAAGTGAAATGCAATTCCCAGGGTGGGCGCCATTAGCAATGTGAGTCACCTCATGTAAACCATTCCCATTTGAAAGAACCTCAAGCTGCACAATATTACATTAAAACGGAGCATTTTGAGAGAAGATACATATGTATATATATATATAGAGAGAGAGAGATGAAACTAAATGGAACCTGAGCTCTGCGGCGTTCATCCCTCAAAAGGTCCAAGACTTGGTGGTGAGGATAGGGCAGCCAAGTAGTGGAAACAGCACAGAGAACGAGTCCATTGGGTTGGCCTGCTTCACTCACTTTCCTCGTCGTGATTCTAACAGTATCGTCGGAGGAGTCTGGAATAGCCGTCCATAACTGACCGCTGGAGCTGCTGATGTTCACAAAGAATGTTCTTATCATCCTCTGAGATAGTCTCATTAGATTCTTCCTTGCTTCAGGTGAAGGAATCACTGAAAGTGAAAGAATAAACAAGTACTGTAAAATCTGATTGAAATGGAAGCCAATTCATAAAAAAATGTAGAATTTATTGAACCTCTAATGTCAGTGATGTTTCTGGCCATGAGGCTAGCAATCCTTTCGCATTGTCTCTCTAAAACAGCTAACCAACGATTCGCTCCGAAAGCCATCCCACTGTTAACAAAGTGAGTAAATATGTGATGGATTGGTTTCTCCTCAGTTCAACCCATGTAACCATCGAGTAACCGTTAGGCATGTCATTAATCAAACAGCCAGAGGGCCTTCTCTTGTACAAGGGAAATGAAGACTGTAAGTTATTATGAAAGCCGTCCAGTGGGAAATCAACAATTGCCCAATACGTTTGGTCCTCCAGATTTTTCTGTTGGCAATAACTAAGGAAATACGCCTCTCGTGTGGGCACCCATGGAGATAGAACATGCAATTCTGCATACATCTGCTCAAATAAACAAAACCAACTCATCAGATGGAGAATTAAGTTCAATGAATATACAGTAGGCATTGCATGAAATGAGAGTGTATACCAGCTGTAGGCAACCATTAGTCCCTGAAACACCTGGTGATATAACTTGAATACTTTTGGCTCTGGCAACTATTGATGGAAAGAGCACGGACCATTTGTTCTACAATCGTAAAGAAATCATTTCAAAACCAGATTTTCGCCATTAAAAATAGCTATCGAATGAAATTGTCAGAGAAAAGGAAAGGAAGCGTACGGCATCGAGAAATGCTTCTACCAAAGTGATGCTATTCATTATAACGATTGCACTGTTACGCCTAGCTTCAGTCCTGAACTCACTCGAGCGCTGCACGATATTTAATGGCCAATGGAACACCTTGGCATGCTCTTCCAGGTTAAGCAATTCCTTGCCATTTATGTTGTTTCGAATCCAAAGAGGCTCATTTGCTCGGCACATCTTCACCAATTCATCCACTGCAGACATAGCAAGCTCCATTGCAATACTTTTCTCATCCTCCAATAAAATTGGATTATCATTCAGCGGAAAGCAGGCTGTTTCAGCCAATGTAGGAGCTATAGGATCTGAGAATTGCCTTGGATAAATGTTCATGTTCAAATCCAATGAATGTGGCATTAATGCACCCGCTGTTTGGATGCGCTGCCCCATATATTGTGAAGAAATGGCGCAGACCCTTTCCAACTATCAAAACATATCAAAATTATCAACATTTAATATTGATTTGATTTCCTCCTGTGTATATAAAGTAGAGAAAAAATAATATCATGATTAAGTAACCTCTTCTGCAAGTCTTGCATTACAGGTGGACCACCACAATTGGGACAAAAAAGTTTGATGAGTTCGGCCTGAAGCCGGTAAAACTCATTCTCAGATTGATCTTGTTGAGTCTAAAAATTAAAGATTCAAAATCAAACATCACCTATATCCTTAATGGCCATAATGAGTACACGTATGATATAATTTGCATTAACTTTGTGAAACAGCGGTTAAATGAGTTTAATGCTGAACACAGTCCACATTTATGAATACAGACTGTAGTTGCAGTGGCCCCAAATTAAAGAAGATCCTTCTTTTTCATCAGTTTAGAAACTTAGGGGTTTGAGCTAGTTTTTCATGCAAACCAGTCAACGCGTCTCCTTGGGACTCGGTTTTTTTTTTGGGGTGATAAATCTCTCAAATAAGTTGGTTTTGATTTTAACTTCATTTGAGTGCGGCGATTTTGGAACCAGAACTTGACCTGGCGAGGCTTAAGGCCAAGTTCTTGGCTTAGTCTCATCCTTTGCTTGTCATCAGGATGTGGACATTCCTTAAAAACACTGTAAAACACCAAACACCAAACATATCTCTTTTTAAACGAAGGGGTTGTCATAAATGAGTAGAAAAAGTGTGAAAAAGGAAGCGAAAATTATACTCTTCCAGTTCTTGGATCTGCCGAGCAGTGTATCGATGGTAACGTTTTCTCTTGAGCGGCTGCACACTGCAATTCTCTTCAATCCCAGGCTTGTCTTCAGCTTGTACTTCACTACGTACCAGACCCGCTTTCCATATCCTCTTTTAACCCATATTCTCCTTTCTATTCAATCCCAGGAAAAGCAACACGAAATGAGTAAACACTAAACAGTACAACTCAAGCAAGAAGAAGGGAAGATAAAGGATGGGGATTTGAAAGACTTACAGGGACCATGGGAGGCAAAGCTTCGAATGTCGACAAGAAGTTGAACTTCAAATTAGGGCTTTGGAATGTCGATGAAAACAACGTTTCTGAACAGACCGCGTTCCCTCCCATTGATGAAAGAACCGGAAAATCTTCATACATTTTCCAACCAGACAAAAACAGTTCTTTCAGTGAACCTGCAACAATCAAATACCGTAAGAAAAAAACATTCTCAAAAGGCAAAGTGAACATGCACTGGTTGACTTTTAAAATCATACATAACATTTAGTTTAAGCTTCAATATGATATTCTTGCCATTAAAAAATTAATAGGACTACTGATGTGATTTTTTCTTCTTCTAATAATGACATGACATTATCGTATGTTGACATGTCAACATTAATATGAAGTTTTTAATGCGGGAACCAAAATCATGAAGTTTTTAATGTAGGAACCAAAATGAAACCTAAACTAAGCATTAAGTATATTTTTTAAACAAAATAAAGCTTTGATACAAAAATGAAATAAAAATAATTATCTAGGTACTAAAAATTATTATTATTATTCATTGGGATTCCGGATTCGAGTACCATGAATGCTAAGGATATGAGTGTTCAATATCAAATAATTAAGAGTTATCTTTAAACATATAATAACTTATATTTACCCCATATGAATAAAAAAATAAAAATAATTTGAAAACCTAAAAAAATCAAAGTGTTAGTTAAGTGAATAAATTTGTAATTTATATTATATTTAGATAAAATATCACTTTTATCTTTGCAGTAAACCCAACTTATCATTTTTATTCCTATCATATTTTCGCATCAATTTAACTTTCAAAATTAATCAATTGTGTCAATGTTTAAAATATTTAGTATAGTTTAGGGTTTTATGTTAGAGTTTAAGATTTATAGGTTATGGTTTGAAAGTTATGGAATTACAATTTAGAGTTTAAATTTTAAGATTTTAGGTTAGGATTAAAATTAGGGTTAAGAGAAGATTTTAAGTTGAGAATAAAGTTAGGGTTAAGGTATACACTCCATTTTTTTTCTTTTGCAAGCGCGTGCTCGTTTCTGTAATAAAAAAAAGGATCCAGTCTTCCATACGTTTCCCAACTTAAATATAGAAAATAAAAAAGTCAAACAACAATCTTAGTAGGGTTGTAAATGAGACGAGACAGATCGCGAGCTACTCGAGATCGACTCGATCAAGGCTCGATAAATACTCGGATTGAATGGACTTGACTCGAGCTCGAGCTCGACTCGATTTCTTAACGAGCCGAAACGAGCTACTCGATATTCGACTCAAAAAGCTCGTGAGCAGCTCGAAAAAATGTTATATTATAATTTTAGATTTTTTAAAATTACATTATTAAAAATACATTGTTGATAATTATAAAATTTTAAAAATACATTAAAA